CCTCTTTCCTTGTATGTTTTGTAATCTTTGTCAAACAGCAAAGATTGTTTATCACCCTGCAATAGAAAATTAGGTTGACTAGGGAAAATATTTTTCAGTATATTGTGCATTCTTAAATCTCTAGACCTTTGAGCAGTGTCTGACACACAGTTGGCACTCGATAAAAGTTTAAAAGAATGAACAAAGAATAGTTTACAGAGGATTTATTACATGATGCATAAAGTCTACATTGTTTATTTAGTCATTATAGAAAACTTATGAAAGTTTTTACTATTCATATCTATAGTTTACACTGACCTTTCTGTGCTCTACTTTTCTCATGTGTGAAGTAAGAATGGGGGTAGAAAAGGGGATTTACAATTCTAAAATACAAAAGGCTCTGAGAACTGAGTTTTTCGAAAATAGTTGGTTAGCAAACCTTATTCAAGCTGGTCTAAAACAACAGTTGTATTCATTTCCTGTTGCTTCTATAACAAATCAGCACAAAGCTAGAGGCTTTATATAAGACAGATTTATTTTCTTACTATGTGAAAGTCCAAAGTCCCCTGGAGGCTATGGTGGAGAATCCCTTGTGTTGCTTTCTCCCAACTTGTAGAGGCTGTTACTTGCTTGGCTGAGGACTGTATCATTACTTCTGTGGTTATATCTTCTTAGATTCTAACTCTCCTGCTCTATGTTAGAAGGGCCTTTGTGATTACACTGGGCCCACCTGGATACCCCAGGACAAATGCTCTTGTCTCAAGAACTTGAACACAATTAGACCTGCAATCTCCTTTGGCCATATAAGTTCAGATATTCACAGTTTTGGGGACTAGAAAGTATGTATCTTTGCAGGGAAGGAAGGCATTCTGCCTATTACAAGTAAGACACATGTTCTGTTCATATATTTCTATGTAGGTTTTGTGGGCTGGCTATGCAGTATTTGGTTGTTAAGCTATCTTATCTTTTATACACTGAAAAAAATATCAACTCATAAATGCATCTACAGCCAGGTGTGGTGGCACATACCAGTATCTGTTACGGTTTGTGTCTAGACGTCCCTACACAGTCTCATGCAGTTTTAGATACGGCTTTTTCAGAGGTGGTTGAATCTAGAGTATGTGATGCTGGGATTAAGGTTGTATGATCATTAAATCAGTACAGGAGTTCTTTGGCACTCCCCTCATCCCACTAGTCTATAAAAAGGGGCAGAAAGATGCTGCTAAGGTTCCCTTGTAGCTTTGCTATTTTTTGCTCACCATGAACTATTCTCCTTTGTGAAGCTACTCTTCCTTGGAACCTGTTGATTATGAGCTGAAACCTTTACAAAACGTGAGCTAAATAAGCCTTTACCCCTTTAACTTTGGGGGTTGGGTATTTTGTCTCGTAATGAAAGGAAAGTGATTGGCACAGTAAGTTCAGCACTTTGGGAGACTGAGGAGGAGGACTGCAAATTCAAACCCAGTTCAAACACCTAAGTGTATAAAATCAGAAAATAAAGAGGGAAATCAGAAAATAAAGAGTAGTTCAATACAAAGTTCAGGTCAGTCCCCATTTACACACACACACACACACACACACACACACACACACACACACGACAAAGAGAAAAAAAGAAAACAAATACATCTGGCCCCAAGAGTTTGGGCAAGGATATAGTACTTCGTGTATTACTATCCTGATACAGGTGGTCCTCACTTTGCATAGTTCAGTGGCAGCTGAGATGAATCTCAGCCCGTGTCTAACTGGACCTTTGTGAGGTTTACTGAAAGCAAATGATCTCTAAAGTGTCAGTGTCTGAGCGCCACCCAGTGAGAGTGACTGCCTTGCCCTCAGCTTTCAGCAGCATCAGGTCTCTGCAAACCAGCTTTCCTACCCACCGATAAGTGACAAAGCCACCACTTAGGGATCTGCTGAGATGAACTCACAGAAAGCCCAGAATCTCTAGCACTCACGAGAAGAGCCAAGGCTGAAGTGGAGAGCCACTAACAGAGCTCTGCCAAGAGCCTGCCAGTCCCCTCAGGGCCCAGGGAAGGTCACTCCAGGAGAAAAGGCCAGGGAGAGGCACAGCTTAAGACATAGTTGGGGAATCCTTAACTGCCCACCTTCTCTGCAGACTGGAAGAACTGTGTGTACTTTCTGTCATAATTTAAGGCTTTTGTGATGAAAAATTATATACTAAACCACAAGGTTACTGAGCCAATCAGCTTATATTACAAGACTTAGAAACAAACCTAGTTTTGACCTAATGGTAAGTATTTAGGAAATAATACGAGGCAGACAAAAGCTATAATTTCTCTTTGTTGTTTTTGAGATAAGGACTCACTGTGTAATTCAGGCTGGCCTTGAACTCGATATGTGGCCCAAGCTTGCCCTGAATTCACAATAATCCTCCTGCTTCAGTCTCCTAGGGTGCTGGGATTACCAGCAAGTTGCATCACACATGGTTAAAAACCACATATTTAAAAGAAAAAAATAGACTAAGGAAGGAAAAATACGGCCAATTAATCTAAAGATTGTTTTCAAGGCTTATGAAACGTCAGTTGTTTCACCTCTACTTTTAATCATTTCAAAATGTCTCTCTGTAGTAGGGTAAAGAAGGAGTTCCGGCAGCAAAATCATTGCTTCTTTTGCATTGTTACAGTAAGAAGGCTCTCAACAGCTTTCAACCTAGAGGAAATCAAACTTGCCTGAGACACTGACAGCCTGTGTGAGCAATGGTGAGCTGGTAGTGCCTGCTCTTAGGGTGCAACGTCGGGGGCTAACAGAAAGCATTCAGGTTAGTTCTTGAGGTAAGAGAACAAAGGAAGGGAGGGCATTGGGTTGTCATAAAGTTGGACTAGAGGTGCAGTCTCAGGAAGAAAATCTCCATTCTGTACTGGCAGATTTGATATAAGACGTCTCTCTGCCCCCTCTAGCAACTCATCCGAGACACAAAAAAGCTTATACTGGCAACTACAAAATTGAGCTCAATCCTGATGTCAGATTATATGAATAACTAATAGATGTTCAGAGTTTCATGGCTAAAAAATGCTGCCTCAAACAGCCCATCAATAGGTGTATTAGTATCCCTGTTTCATTGATGTACCAAGATTACGGAGACTAAACCCTCTTCATCTTATGCCAAATCCTGTCATTTTCCTACCAGCAAGGCACCACATGTTCAAGATCACAGTGAAGAATCTGGACTTTCTCTCCTATAGTACAGGTGTTCAAAAACCTAGTTACTTAAATTATGCAAAAGATGTCTGAAATACAGATTCCGGGGCGTCTCTCCTAGAGAGCTTTTTGTGAATCTGCAGTTTTAAATGGTTGTCTGGAGTCTAATATAGAGTCAGGTTTGGGAGAAACTGGTGAAATCAAAGACCAGTGCTACGATTTTTACTGATAGTACTTACAGGGCTTAGTTAATGAAGGTGGAAATCAGTGTGCTTCCTAACTTATCTGACTGTTTAAGAATCTTTTGAAATCTATGGATCTCTCCCCAAGAAGCACATAAACACTCAGCACTATATGGAGTTTTATTTGCTTTCCATTGCTGTCATAACCAACTATCGAAAATATAGTGGTGGCTTAAAATAACAAAACTTACTGCTTTATAGTTCAGAGGGTCAGAAATTGGACTGCTTAATTCTTTGGCTCATGGATGCCTTCCTTCATCTTCAGGGACACCAATGACAGCATAGCTTTCTGTTTCCATGGTTAAGTCTCTTTCTTTCATTATAGCTAGGAAAAGTTCTCTGTGGCTGTTTTTTTTTTTTTTCCACTAGGGATGGGGGAGGGCACACTACGACTAAGCTACATGGCCCCAGCCAGCCCCATTTTTATATTTTTATTTTAAGATAGGGTATTGCTAAGTGCCCGGGTAGGACTTGAACTTGCAATCTTCTTGCCTCAGCCTCTCAAAACGATGGAAGTACATATGTACACCCCCGTGTCAGCTTGTTCCCTGCTTTTGAGGATTCACATGGTTATACTGGTCTGCCCATCTACATCTCCCATCTCAGAGTCCTTATACTAGTTCCTTTCGAATCACAGCACAGGTTATGAAGAGAGTATGGACAGGAGCCAAAGGCTTGGGTTCAATTGCCTATAACACCCTCCTTTTCCTCTCCAGAAGCAAAGTAAAGGTAGGGAAAATACAATTGTGTGGTCAAACTCCACAGTAAGGAGTTAATTCATTAGGAATCGTAAATCTGAGTGACCAAATTTTAGAGGTAGAATGATGGCTGCTTAGTAGCCAGGGAAAGGATATGTTTTCCTTTTGGCAGTGCTAGGGCTAGCATTCAGGTCGTCTTGCATGCCAGGCAAGGGCTCTACCTCTGCACTTCGTGCTCAGCCAGATGAGTTACAGTTTACTGGGCATAGTTTGTTTTGTAAGATGAAGAGAGTTCTGGAGTTGGATGGTAGCAACTGGTTGCACAACAAAAGTGGTTAACTTTTTGTTATGTATATTCTACCACAATTACATGTTGCTGGAGTCCAACCCTTCTGATTCAGCAAGTTTAGCGCAGGACCTGGGGATCTGCTTTTCTGACAAGTTCGGGGAGACGTTCATATTGCTGGAACCACACTTGGGAAATCACTGTCTTAGGGGACCAGGGGAATCGAATGTGGAGGGGCGCTCTCGTCCACGTGATTATTATTAACATCAACAGTTGGCGCTCACGGAGCGCTTCCCGCTTACACGTGATTTCACAGCTGCGCGAGGGACATCGCGGCGCAGGGCTGGAGTATATCCTCGACCGTTACTGCGTTGCTTTGGCCCCTGGCTGAAAGGGAAAGAAAGACAAAAGCAGAGAGACAGACGCAGCGGGCCGGCAAAACACGTGGGCGCAGAGAGGGGCGCTGGGCCGGCTCCCGGAGAGGCCCGGGGCCACCTCCCTGCCCAGGCGCTGCGCCGGGCTCGTGGCCGGCAGGGGGCGCTGCCGTGCCGTGCCGTGCGCCGCCGCCGCCCTCCCGCCCACCCGGGCCGCCCACCCCGGGGCGCGCCTCTCCACAGCCCCGTCCAGCCCGCGAGGCGCTGCCTTCGAGCGAGCGCGCAGACGGCTCGGTCTCACGGAGGTCGCCGCCGCTCGCTGCCCTCCGCGCCGCTCAGCGCGCGCGTCCCGCCGGAGTCCGAGCGCACAGCCCGCGCCTCGCGGGCCGAGGGAGGGCGGCTGCCGGCCGGGGATGGGCGGCGGGGGACTCCGCGCGCTGCTCCTGGCGCTGGTGGCCGCGGGGACCCCGGCGGCCGCCTACAACCTCGACCCGCAGCGCCCCGTGCGCTTCCAGGGCCCCGCCGGCTCGCTCTTCGGGTACGCGGTGCTGGAGCATTTCCACGACAACACGCGCTGGTGAGTGCCCGCCACCCCGGGCGGCCGGGCGCCGCCGCCTTTCCGGGCTCCTCCCGGCCGCCGTCCCCGGGGGGCGATTTAAATGTCTCGGCCGCGAGGGCGCGGCGCGGCCCGGCGCGAGGGGGAGGACGCCGGCCTGGCCTGCCGCGTGCGGGGAGCGTCCGGCGGCGGCGTCCGCCCGCGGGCCCGGGCACCGGCGGCTCTCCGTGCCTGGTTCGCGTCCCCCTGGCGCCGGCGCCGCTGCCGTGGCGTGCAGGAAACGCAGTCCCGGGAGATGGGTGGGGTGGGGGACGGGCGCTGCAGAGAGGCCCCCCACCGGCCTGTGGAAGAGGGCTGCAGGCTGCGGCGCGCGGGGAAGGAGGGCAGAAGGGGACTCACGAGGGACAAAGCCAGTGCGGCTCGTGGGGGCAGCCTGGGCCTCGTCGCGCGTGGGCCTCCCAACCCAGAGACAGCGCCACAGAGGCAGGAGGGACTTAGCTCTGGAGAGGTTGAGGAGTTTGTTGCGCCTGAAAAAGACGCGGGGGCTCGTCCTCAGTACCATCGCCAGCTGATTTAACAGAGCTCCCGTGTCCAGCGCCAGGGAGCACTGAGCAAGGAGGTGGATGTCCTTTTGGTCTTTTCCTCAGACTTTTTCATAGGAGGGAGAGTTAGACCGCTCCCTCCGCCTTTTTCCAGGCTCGGCTTCAGTGTGGGCCCTGGTGTACTGAGGGATCCCCAGTGTGGGCATCCTTCTGGGTGGCAGGTCGGACATCGCGGTCAGTGATGTGTATGCTCGCAGCGCGGACCTCGGTGAGAGAGTCGCAGCTCTGAATCGGACAGAGGCTGACCTAGAAGGGTGGGACGTGGCTGGGGGTCCTCACACATTCCGGAAAATGGGAACTCCACCCAGGCCGGCCAGCTCATTAATAACTGTTTAGGAGAGCTGTCTCCAGGGGAACTGGTTTTCAAGGTCCTTGTGTAGTTCTTGTCTAGCTCCATATCCCGCTCCCTAACATTCATCCCCGTTAAGTTTTAAGACATGACTGCTTCGTCCTGTACTTGCCAAATTACCTTCTTAAAAAGAGCGGGCTGCACACCTTCCCTGAGTTCTCCAAATCCCAGATGCACTGTGGGCTTCAGATTTGGTATAAATGCAGCCTGGGCAGAAGCACTTGGAGAACGCATGCCAGAAGCCCACACTGGGCTCCCAGGCTGTGTGACCTTGGCACCAAGCACGTGGGAAGAGCTGTCAAAAATAGAAGGGCTGCTCTGGGTAGGGGGCTGATGAGGCCCAGCGGGCAGTGTGCGGTCCACCTGCTGGGGCTGACTGCTGGGCCTCTGTCACCTGGACTTGAATGGACTACAGGTTAAAGCCTCCTCAGTTGGAAACAACTGGGTGAGTCAAGAGCAGACTGACAGAGAAAAGGTGTCCTTAGTTTTGAAAAGGGAATGATGAAAAACTGTGTGAAGAGATCTGGCAAGGGCAGGAAAGGCAACCTGGCTTTACACTTGGCATCCATCTAAATTGTAGGGAGGCACTGGATAGTGGTCTTGTTGCCAATAGGGGACAGATATTTCCTGGGTCCGTGGGAACCCCTGCATCTGGACCGCTGCTCTTAAAATTAAAAATGTCCCCTGCGGTCTGATGCTGAGCTCTTCTTTGTGCTGGAGTGCTCATCCCTTTCATGTGCCCACTGAGACTCCACTGAAATCTTTTTGAAGCAGATCCCTTTTCACCCCACATTGCCTTAATTTTATTTTTTATTTTTTGCCTTTCATTGATATCTGTTCTCTTGCTTTTTTTTTTTTCAAGTATTCACTTTCCCCATTCTTGTCTTTCTTCCTTCTTCCTCCCAAGACCTTGCATGTATTTTCTGTGGATTATGATACCAGTTTTAGAGCTGTAGCCTTTGAAGTAAGAGACACTTCTAACTTCTCTCTTTTTTTTTTTTCCAGAAGGTAGACCTAACTCAGGATGAATGAAATTTAAGCTTTTGGCCTCTTGCTTGCACAGGTCCTACCAAGACTATGATGAAATTTTTCAATAACCTTTCTTAAAGTTTGGGCATTAACTTAAATGTATAAGATTCAAGTGCTATGGAAACAGCATCTACCGTAGTTGCTACCTTAACTTTTATCACTGTGGTTGGTGGATTGACATAATAATTTATTGTTGACTCTACTGGGCAGTCTCTGTGTCTTGTATTTCTAGGGCCTTTTGAGAGGTGCATATAATTTGTTTCCAGTTATTAATAATTATAATGACAGCTGGGGAAAGCTTCCTTATAGCTAAATCCTTATGGACATCCTTAATTATTTCCTTCAAATCAGTCCCTGGGGTTGGACTTGCTGAGTTAGAGAGGATGTAGGCTTTGAGGCATTCTTTATTATACTACCAACGTGCTAGTGAAGCTGAAGTGTACACTTTAGGGAAATGCATTAATTTATTTAGGCACTGTGGTTTTGAAGTAGGTTAGCAAAATGCTGCTGTAGAACATAGAATCCTGTATGGAGATTACTTTAAAAAGATCACAAATAGTCAAAATAGATGAAACAAAATTAGACTTGGAAAAAAAAAGTGTATTGGAACTTTGAAAGGAAAAGATGACAACTGCTAATTAACTCTTTTAAATGTGCGTTTCTTCTAGAAGAAAATTTTCAGTAGCTCCTTAATGATTTTGTGATTGAAGACATTTGCTTGATGCTAATTAGCCAGCTATGTCACAAGTTGTTGATAAAGGTGTATTGTATATATAGTATGGAATGTGCAGGGAGGGATGGGGAGAGCCCAGGCCCCAGCGGGCAGAGCCGAGGGTTCCCATGTTGTGTCAGTCAGCGTTGTGATGCTGTAACAAATACCTGAGGTTGTTGAGGTGGAGAAAAAGTTTATTTGACTCACAGTTTTGGAGGTGTCAGGTTTTAGTCTGTGGTCAGTCTACCCCGCATTGCTTTTGGGCCGCACAGCATGGTGGAGCCTGTAGAAGAATACAGCTGTTCACTTCTTGGCCAAGGAGTGAAAAAAGAGAGAAAGAGGTGGTAGTTGGGGTCCAAATCCCATTCAAGTACACAGCTCCAGTGACAGTCTCCTTGGCTTCAGCTTTTGAAGTTCTACATCTGATGGCGCCAAGCTGGGGACCAAGCGTTGAACAAATGGGTGACCTTGCTTTCTTAGCTCTAGACCTAAGTCCTCTCCTGTAGTTGTATCATACTGATGACAGAGCCCCAGACCTAGTTTCTCTGTCGCAACTCATTTGACAGTGTCTCTGTCGCCGTGCCCTGGGCAGTGAGAACTGTCCCCATGAGCAGTGGACCAGGCTATAACCTGATTACACTGTATCTGTTTGGATATAAACATGCAAGTGCACCAGTTTTCCTTTTTCTAATGAGACTCAGAGAGTGTCTGTCCACTTAGAGCTTACGTGTACTACCCACCCCTGGGTCTGCTGGCATCCTTTGAACAACAGCAGTAGGTGCCAGGGAACATGGACAAAGCTGATTTCTGTCCCCTTGCCTAGCAGTTCCTCAGCTGCAGAGTTCACAACTGTAACACTCTGTGATATAAATAAATGCAGCCAGGCTGCTGTGCACCCCCTCCCCTCCCTCTTTGCCCCAGACGCCCTGGAGAAGTAGCTGGTTGCACTGACTTCCTCTCTGGCGATGTGCTTCCTGCGGCCTCTTCTGGAACACAGAGGACTGAGCTCAGGCACAGAGCAAGTGCTCTGAAATTTTGCTTTTGTGAAGGTTGTTAGAAGGTTGTGAGGAGCAGGAGGAAGTTAGGCCCAGGGGAAACATAGCTTTCATTTGCATTTGGCTTGAGAATTAGAAGTATAACCAGCAAAATGGAGCTTTAAACATTACATTTTTTTCCTTTAGAGACAAGTGACCTGTGAACTTCCTCAAGGCCTAAGGCATAACTGGCTACCTCTCCTCTGGATGGAATAAGCAAGCCCAATTTAGTTTTCTTACACAAAGGAGAGAAAGGTCTGGGTCCTGGAAGGGATGGAACTAACCTGAACATGAGTATTGTTCCATTGTGTTCCTTCCTGAACTGTGCCTTGCTATAAAAGACCCTACCCACCTGTATGTGCTGAGACGATGATTTGAGGCAATGGGTCCTTATTTTTGAGTAAGTCTAGTTTGCTTTTTACCAAAGCAAATTGCTTCCTTTGATTTGGTCAGCAGTGAGCGAATGAATCGGAGTGTATAAACTTAAGTGGCCTGTAACAAAAGAACAAACTACAGCAAGTTCCTGATTTACAGACAAGTTCCATTCTGAAAGCTTGTATATTGAATTTGTTCATAATCCAACAAAGTGAGTCTTATACAATACACCTGAGAAAGTTTGCAATTTGAATGTTAGTAAGTCTGGGACTTACTGTAGACAGTTCTGGTGAGCTGCTCTATGTTTTTACCCCAACCAGGTTATTGCTGTTTAAATTAAAATAAACTAAAACTAAGAATTCAGTTCTTCAGTGGCACTTGCCATATCAGTAGCCACGTGTGGCTAGAGGCTGCTGTCTTGGACAGCCCACAAGGAGAGCATGTTCATCATTGTATAGTATTGGCCGGACAGTGTGGGGCTTAGAGCAATGCCTTAGGTCTTTTGAAAGGCTAGACAAGGATAAGAAGCAGATTTAAGATAAAGAAAAGCTAACTCTTAGCATAACTGAGTATTGAAACCAAAAGAGGAGTGCTGAAAGCTAAAACTTGTGGACTGCTGAGGTTATTTTTCATTCATAAAACACTGGAGCATATGTTCTGGACTGGGGTAGAGATTCAGGAATGAAAAATCCATCTGAAAATCTGATGGGTGAGAAAGTTGGAGGGAGGTGGCTATGGTTGTCTTGTTTCTTGGGCAAAAGGAAAGACATATTATGGGCTCCAGTTGGGGGAGGCTGGTTTTCAGGCAGGAATGAACTGTTCAGAGGAGTAGAGGAGAGATTCCTGTGTAAAGCTTTAGAAGAGGGGTTTGGGGCCTTCTGCCCTCCACCTTTGGCCCTCCTATCCTGAGGAAACTCCTA